TATTATTATTATTATTATTATTATTATTATTTATTGGATTTCTCCTAACCATGGTTTATTAAATAAACCAGAATGGGTTGCTTGCATAAGACACTAAGCTGTTCTTTACAAATCACAATAACTGGCTCATTTAACAAACACAGCTGAATAGCTTAGTATATTGTGTGATTGAGAGAGAAAAACCGAAATACATGAAACAATATAAACCAATTTAATTTTTTTAATGAAGGAATGCTATAATTTGAATGCTCCTTCAGTTGGAAATTCTGACAGTGAAATAATCTACTGTTAACTATGTTTGTGGGTTTTTCCCTCATAGAGATCTAGCTAACAACAGGATTGAATCACTTCCTCCAATCATATTTAAGGATCTGAAAGACCTTTCACATCTGTAAGAGTCTCTAATAATTTCATTGATCTATGATGATTTATATTAAATATTATAATTAATTTTCTAGCTTTCAAAAAAAAATCATGTTATAATGAAAAAGTATGCCTACATATGTTGCATAATGTGTAAAAAGTTTATTTTTTAAAGGGCCACGCATAGAATTCTTGCTCCGATGTTTAGGATACTTTAGCAAGTATGTTGAATATAACAACACAACTTTGCTAATTGTCCTAATACTACTTAAGGTTAGTGATTTGAATGATCAAACTCCACCGCTCCAAATGACAAGTATGAACTGTGTATGAGTCAGCCCCACTAGGAGATTTTATATCATATTTATTATAGGAAGATTAGGATTTCCCCCAATATAATTAACTGTGAATTGAGGAATTTGGCTTAACTTTGCTGATAAGAATAGAAGTTCTGAAAAGAAGCCAGGAGATACATATGGCTGAAGACACCTGAAAAGCCTGAATATTTTCAAAGATTAGCTATGCTAATATGCATATGCAGATGGGAGGAGCTTGAGAAAGACAGCTTGTCTGCTGAATTTAACATCTAAACAGGAACGGCCTCTCTTTTCTTTTCTTTCCTGTCCAGCTTCCTCTTCTTATCACCTCCAGGCTTATTCCCCCTTCCCTTCCAAGTGCAGTTCTCCTTTACCCTCAATCTCCATCCTCTTCCTCCTCCTCTTCTGCTATTTTTGCTGGAAGAAGGAATGGGATATGTGTGTGTGAGACAAAGATTTATGAGATAGAGAACAAATGATATATGCAGATGGGAGGATCAATTAATTTTATATGTACCTTTACACATATAAACATTTAATGTTGGAGGGGAATGAAGGTAAGGAAATCTTCAGGACTGTTTTTAGCTAGAACTGATAACCGATGGGAAAGCTATTGTGCAGGATTTTTTTTACACACGTAAGGACCAGGTTGGGGACAATCTATGTGGTCACTAAAAGTCAACACTAACTTGATGATGCATAATCAGTCAATGACAACTATTATATTTTATTTGTTATTAGCTGAATTCAGCAAGTTGTATATCTAATAGAAGTGAATATGTGTAGCTCAGGGTTGAACTGTAGAGTCCTTGGGGTTCTCTGAGCTTGGTTAATGGCATCTACATACTATTCAAAAGAGACAAAAGACCAGAAGATCACCTCACCAGCAATCATCACCCAGATAAGCAAAGGTTACCACCAGGCACACAATCAAGCAGCAAACATATGCCAATCAAAGAACTACCAGAGGAGCAAAACAAACAAAACAAAACAAAACTCCCACCTCCACCAGCATTGGCAAGGCAGGCCACAGCACATAAATAGAGAGCAAACCCCATCCCATTCTAGCACTGAAGATGTTACCTAGCTAGGTGATGAAACGTTTGGAAGAAAAGAACCAAGCATAGAGAACCCCAAGGACTCCACAGTTGTATATCTTTCAAGGCTAATAATTCTGCCCTGCACAATACATATTAATAAGCAGTCTACACATTATTTTTAATTCAGTATAGCTATAATAGGTATGTTGTATCATATTCTTTTGACAGGAATCTTTCATACAATCCAGTTCAGAAAATACAATTAGATCAATTTGATTATCTCAGGAAACTCAGCTCATTGTAAGTAGGTGTAGTCCTTCTCAGTGACTAAATAACCAGTATTAAATCAATGCATTTTAGTATGTTGATGCTTTGCCGTTTTTGGTAATTTTGAAGTACATATTTATTGGCAAAAATGTTATATAAAATTGTTTTGCTATACGTGCTCAGAGGGTTTTACATCTGTAGAATTACATTTAGGATTGCATTACTGTATAGAGCTGAAAACCTATGCCCATATTCCTTGGGGTGAGTCAAATGTTATACAATGTGGCTTATTTAAAAGATATACAAAGAATTGCATAATTAAAAGTACTTAGAAATGTATTTTCTTTCTTTAATAACTATAAATTAGCAAACATGTAGAATTTTTCTGTATTTAGAACATTCAGAAAATTGAATAGTTAAGTAAATCAGTAAAGAACAAAATTGTCTTTTAAAAATACATAGGATTCTTCTACATTTCTTTCTAAATGCCTTCACTGGGTCTATAGGTAAATTATGTCAGAATTTTTAAGGTATTTTTACAAACTGAAAGGCTAAGCTTTGTTGTAGTTTTCAGTAGATTTTGCTTTGTTTAGCTTCTTCTTTTTCATCATTATCATTATCATCATAATCTCTTATCTTTTTATCCAAGTCACTCATTATATGCATTTTAGAGATTCATAAAAGTATGCTGAAAGTTTAAGAATGTATTCATTACTGTGTAATCCTTTTCCTGTTAATTCAACCATATTTTTTTTCCTTAACATTACCTAAAGTTTGATTTCTAATATATATAGGAGCCTAGAAGGTATCGAAATTATGAATATCCAAAGAAGAATGTTCAGCCCACTAAGAACTCTTTCCCATATGTAAGTATCACGCAAGCATAATCTTTTTACTGTAATATAATTGATTATATAATCACTGTAAATTCCAAGCATTTTCATAACATAAAACCCTTCGTCTTGCTCTGCAAGTGTGAGAGGCTGTCTACTTTGTTTTTTAAATCTCAAGGAGGATTTACATAGGAAAACAATATATTTTAAGAATACTTCTACCATGTGTATTCTGAAAAATTACTCTGTAGGTAACTAAAACTCTCACCATACCATGACATGCTGGCTGGGTCTAATGCAAATTGAAGTCTAAAATGTTTGGGAGATGATAATTTGCCTATAGGTAGACAGTATTCAGTTAGATAGAACAGTATTTTAATTCTGTTATGAAGACCTTCCATAATCTCTTAGTAGCTTCTGCTAGAAATTTGCATGGGAGAAATAAACCAAAGATAACCTTATTTTATTTCAGAAAGTTGTTTGATAATTTTGGGGGGCTTAGGTATTTGTATATAAAGAAGTAGGAATGGGTTGGTGCCTCAAATACTTGCAGAAGGCTGTAATTATAGCCTTGGCTAATGCCATTTTTTTCAATGAAGAATAAAATCCTGTGGCTAGAATATTCATGTACATTAAATATAAGTGATTCTCAGAACTGTTCCATCAAAATGTTATTTACCCATCCCAGAAAATTAACGTTAATTTAGATTTTACTAGTTCAAAGAATATATCAGTGGCATCTGCAAAGAGGGAGGGGGTGGGGTGGGGTGGGGTCAGAGTGACAAAAGCAGCATTGTGGCATTGCAAGGCAAGCCCTGTCCATTTTGTACGTGTGTCATGACATCACACACATGCATGAAAGATGCAGAGCTTCCAGTGTAATACTTTCATCATTGTAATGAAAGCAGCAAGCCCCTACTGATGCTCATAGAATATATAATGTAGTTTTATAAAGTATTCCATTCTACAAGTTTCAGTTTGATACAGAGAAGTCTCTTTTTCCCCTTAGATACTTTAAAAAATTTCAGTATTGTGGTTTTGCTCCTCATGTGCGTAGCTGCAAGCCAAATACTGATGGCATCTCATCCTTCGATAACCTGTTAGCCAGCATTATACAGAGAGTATTCATCTGGGTTATGTCTATTATTACCTGCTTTGGAAACATCTTTGTCATTTGCATGCGGCCTTATATTCGGTCAGAGAACAAGCTCCATGCCCTATCAATAATGTCTCTCTGCTGTGAGTATCGCTTTCTACTAAAATATATTTTCTAAAAAGTTGTTTAACACAGCAACCTTAATTGGAAGGTGGGAAAGATTTCTGTACTAGAAGAGCCACTACTCTCGCTACTACTCAGATTGGCTGTTCTAGCAGAAAGTGGAAATGGGACAGTTGGTTCATACTTTTTTCTTCCAGTAGTTTTGTTACTAGCAAGAAAGAGAATATTGCAAATAGTATACAGGTAGTCCTTGTTTAGCGACTGCCTTATACAGCAACCATTTGCAGTTACAATAGTGATGAAAAAGTAGCTTTGCGACCAATCCTCGCATTTATGACCTTCGCAGGTCTGTAAAGCAAAGGAAAGCTGAACTAAGATTGTAAGCACAGTTGTGGTTTCACTTAGCAACTACTTTGCTTAATGACCAAGTTGAGAGTCCCAATTGTGGTTGCTAAACGAGGACTTAGGTAGGGCCTCTAAGGGAGAAGTGATAGCTCCAATTTGGTATTAGAATAGCAATTCTACTTCTTCAGCAGGAATTGGATTACTATGCAAATGAAGTTAACACATTAATTAACATATTAAAAGAAGATACACTAATATACATTTTTCCCTAGGTGCAGATTGCCTCATGGGAATATACTTATTTGTGATTGGTGCCTTTGATCTCAAATATCGTGGGGAATACAACAAGCATGCTCAGTTATGGATGGGCAGTATCCATTGCCAGTTGGTGGGGTCTATAGCCATTTTATCCACAGAAGTGTCTGTCTTCTTATTAACCTATCTGACTTTGGAGAAATATATCTGCATAGTTTACCCTTTCAGATTCTTCAAGCCTGGAAAATACAAGACAATTTCCATTTTGGTTGTTATATGGATTATAGGATTTATTGTTGCTTTTATTCCACTGAGCAATAAGAATTTTTTCCAGAACTACTATGGCACCAATGGTGTCTGTTTCCCTCTTCACTCTGAACAATCTGAAAGCATTGGAGCTCAGATTTATTCTGTCATCATTTTTTTGGGTAAGTAAGCTCCATGTTTCTTCTAGTATATTGCACAATCATAATTGTTTTCTTATATATGAAATGCAGGTAAGATATATCATCACTAAGCAAATTTTAAGTCATGGCATAAATGAAGCTGTCAGTTCCATTTCCCAAGGAAAAAAGTAAATGTCTACAAGAGAACAAGTTTTTTGGCAAAATGCTTTCCCAAACTGGCATGCTTAGTTCCTTATAGTGTCCACAGAGGGCAAAGGTGGTCAGAATGAAGCAAACAGCATTGTGGCATTGACACAAAGCCCACCCCTTTTTCACATGTGTCATAATATCCCATGCATGCCCCAAAGGGGTGGAACTTACAATTCAATACTACTTTTGTCATTCTGACAAAATAGTGAGTCCTTACAAATTATGCTGCCGGTTTCTATATAGTGGACTTTTTTTTAGCTCAGATGAAAACATTCAAGATTTTTTAGACCTTTCCAGTTCTTACAATTCTTTTGCAATTCTTGTAAATCCCATTTTGCCTTGGGCTGTTCATCATTTTTTTTTTTTTAAGTTTTACACTATCATGAGAAATCACATTATTTAGCAACTTAAATGTGACCATTCTCTGTATTTTGTCTTGCAGATATTTTTTTTAAATAGCAAATTGTATCAGCTGAGGAGCCAGATATGAATGAGGTCAGAGTTGATAGAGAAAGAGAAGTTTGGCTCCAATATTGCCCAATCCTGTATATTGGATACCAATTGAATGCCTGTTGTATACAGTAAAGAGTGTGATACAGAAAAAAATCTGAAATTGTATTACTAGCAGTTTACAATTCTGAATTAATTGTGAAGAGATCAATAAGTTAAAACGTATTTCTATACAATGTTTATAATCTATAAGTTCTTTCAACACGAATAATGTGCTTTAAGTTAATGAGGCTAAGCAAGTTTCAACAGTACTGCAATTACTTTGGTTGTTAATGAAAATCACTTATGCATAGCAAATAAATACTGTTCTTAGGTTTCATCATTGGATATTTTACACTAGCATATCAGTATTTGCTACAATAATGAATTTACATTGTGATGTGACAACAACATGGAATTATAACACAGCTTGCCTTTCACAATAGGTATTAACTTGGTAGCGTTTATCATCATTGTGTTTTCCTACGGAAGTATGTTTTATAGCATTCATCAAACAGCTGTTACTTCAGTGGAAGTCCAGAATCATGTAAAGCAGGAGATGATCCTTGCCAAACGGTTCTTCTTCATTGTATTTACTGATGCACTATGCTGGATACCCATATTTACACTAAAATTGCTTTCCTTACTTCAAGTAGAAATTCCAGGTATTGCTGATTTCCCTTTCAATTATTCTATTTATCAGCTTGTAGTGAGAACTATGTGGTTAGAATATCCTAAGTAATAGGAGTAAACAGGAGAAATTGAGGGCCTGCAAGAAAATGTTGTCATCCTCAAAATCAACACATGTATCTCTTCAGACTTTCACACAGCCCTACTTTCCCTCACCACCGTGTAAGCTCTAACAAACTCAGAGGTCTTCCAATATCTTTCCAAGCCATTCTGCATTTCTTTTTTAACTGCCAGATTCTCAAAATGCAGTAGATACAAAGGATACTGTGACCTCAATTTTGGAAGAGGTTCTTCTTTTTTGTTGTGTATATTTTTAGGCTGCCTCTGCAAGCCTTGAGATGTTGATACCTTTGTTGTTGCTTAGAGACTGTTGTTTTAGAATCAGTAAATTCACACCAATTACTATTTTAATAAAATTCCACTTCTATAGCATATACCTTATTATGTATATACAGGTTCATTTAATTTTTTTTTCTTTTTAGGTTCTATAACTTCTTGGGTTGTAATTTTTATTTTACCTATAAATAGTGCCTTGAATCCTCTTCTCTATACATTAACTACCAGACCTTTCAAAGAAATGATTTGTCAAGCTTGGCAGAATTACAAGCAAAAAAATTCTTCAGAAAGTAAAAGCAATCAGAAAATATACAGCCCATCATTTATATGGATAGAAATGTGGCCTAAGGAGGATATGTCATCAGAGCTGACAAAGCCTGCCCTTTATACAGATACCTGTGGAGCACTGACAACTACAGACTCAGCAAGAATAAATTAACATCTATGAAAATACTTTGTTCACATTCTACTTTGCTTTAAATCACAGTATTTTTAATACATTATTTATTAGCTCTTTCTGAAAGCCTGCCATAGGAGCCTGGCAGAGGAGAAAGGAAATTAAAAAAATATATTTATATTGCTTTTTCAGTAGACATTGGTGTATGAGGCAAAGAAAGTAAAATAAATAAAACTGAATGGCTTTCTAATTTGACAATTCTAAAGAATATTTTTAAGTTGAAAAGCTTGTGATAGAATGATCAGTATTATATTTCAGTTTGCACAGTATTTTTCTACAATTGAGAATAAGACATGAATAGCATTGTACTGTAAAATATTAATACACCCATTGTACTGTAAATATTATTATAAAAGCTAAAAATACTAAATATTTATAAACAAAACTCAAGGAAATTTTCAATTTTATGAAATAAGAAAATTGCTTGTTACAATTCAATGTTTTTATGCAGGAGAACTACACTTTTTTATTTCAGCTACAGATTATAAATTGAAGTACTATACAGAAAGGAATAGCAGCTGTCTTTTAGATTGGCAAAATATTAATGGCTTGGACTTCTTAAGTTACATAAGAATAAATGTTGTACACTTTCTAATGTTTACTGAATTTTGGAATACCTTGAACTAGACTATAAACTAATATTATGTCATACACAATTTTGAAGATAGATAGATATCCTTATGTTTCCAAATGAAGTATAGCCTTCATACAATTATGTAATAAGTTTTCATTTTTTTTTGTCTCATGAGAATCCAAGGTTGAGCATGCTCACAGTACACTCATAGAAACCACTTAGGCATGTTAGTCATGACTAACCTGATCCATTACTTTCTATTCATACTTTCATTTTTTAAACAAGTGACAACACTTAGGTCTTCTTGTATGGGCTCAGAAGCTAAGGTCAAGACTGGTTAATACTTTGATGAAAGACCCCCAGGGAATACCTAGGTGGCAGGTGAGACTAGGAAATCTCTGTGCCAGGCTGAGCCACAAGTGCCAGGGGAGTACAGTATTGAACTGGTGTTTGAAGGCTGTTCCTATCTTGATGTGATGAAACAGGCTGAAGTTGAACCCAAGCATGATGGACTTACTGTTTGTGAAGAAGGATCTCTGTTGTGTCTGGTGATAACTCTGAAGGGTAGTCCCCTCACCCTGAAAGAAGAGGTCTGTGATACAGGTTCCTACAACACTCATAGCTATTGCTAGATAAACAGAAGACCGTGGCTTAGGGTGGTGGGGGCTGTCCTTGTCTAGCTTTGGCCAGTGCCCCTGTTATAGACATACTTGGGGCAGGGGGCCTTCATCCAGCAACTCATGCAATGTTCGCCATCTATTTTGATTGCAGCAATGCTCTCTACATGGGATTACTTCTGAAGACCACACAGGTTCGTCATCTATTTTGATTGCAGCAATGTTCTTTACGCGGGGCTACTTCTGAAGACCACACAGAAAGAGTAACTGGTACAAAATGCAGTGGCCTGTTAATCAAATCAGATCTGCATCAATCATACAATCCCTGTTCCATGGTTGCTACACTTGTTTCCAGTAACTTTTCAGGTACAAATCAAAGTGCTGGTTTTAACCTATGAACCCCTATATGGCTCGGCACCCAAGTACTTACAGGATTGCCTTCTTCACATACAAACAGCCCACAGGACTGCCAAGTTATTCATTTTGAATCCTGAACAGAAGTAGATATTTTTAACATACAGCACAATTCTTCCTTTGCTCTTACTTTTTAACAAACTGCATCCTTCAATTGCTATATGTGAGTCATGCCACCATTATCTCTATTAACCGTTTGACTTCCTTTTCTAAGACTTCATGCTCTTGTTTCCTATACTCTGAATGCCCCTCCCAACAAAAATCACAATTATATATTATTTTAAAGCAATGTGAATAGTTACATAATATACACTGCTAGAGAAAGCATAAAGTCACTCCAATATCTTTTATTAACAATAGAAAAGCACACCGTAGTTGCATTAAATTATTAACTGTTGGAAACAGTAATTGACTTGCTTGTCACCCTGAGCCAGGATTTCTTTGCCTACAACTTCAATGCAATTTCTACAGAAAATAAAGCAGATTATATACTCATTTATGATAGTTTCCTCAGTCAAGGAAGAGATGAACAAAATATTAAAGATCATGTATTGACACAAAAATAAGAAAATGCTTTTTACCCAGAAGGAAACTACTGTGTTCTATCGTGCAAGTGAATCTTTGGGGTGACTTTCATCTGGCATGATACATTTGGACTCAGTGTTCAGAATACAAAAATAGGTTTACATTTTTTAAAAATGCCATAACTTACAGAATGAATGAAAGTTCTAATGGAGAAAAACAAAATAACAACTCCTAGTTTATGTGGGAGAACATGCTGTGGTAGAAAAACATTTCTCTGAAAGAAGTGCGTTTAAACCAGAGACTAGGACACATCACCCTGCCGCTCAGATCGATTTTTTAACAGTGTTGGAGGCAAAGACAGGCCTAAAGAGAGACGGAGATACAGTCACGTCCCTCGGCGCATCTCCAGTGTTACCAGGAGATACTGTGACGACTGTGCCAAGGGATATCTCAGAGGGACCAGGCCTGGGCACAAATACCGCCCTCATCCCCTCAGCCATCCTTCCCGACTCCAAAGTGACCGCCGATCCCGCCTGCGTCCACGGCTGCTTTTTTCTATTGGCGAGTCAGCAGCCGCACGTGGGCAGCAGTTCAGAACCACGCCCCCACTCTAGTGAGGACGTTGCCCAATGACGCGGGAGGGCCGAGCGTCCGTCTGCCAACGCAATTGAACTACAATTCCCCAGCGGATATACACTGCGCTAAATTACGAAGGACGGGCCG